TAAGAGAGTTTCTTTCCATATAGGATTTGATCTGGATCGACTCTAAATTAGTCAGGATTTAATGGGATTTTTGGATACTGGAGAGTTAGTACAAAAAAATAATTTATTTTTTTAACCAACAACTTATTAGTTTGAGTGGAAAAAACTCGATCTCATTTTAAATAAAATTTTAAATTCATAAATAAAAAAACAGCTGGTAAGAGAGTTTCCTTTTATATGAGATTCGAACCAATTTGATTCCAAATTAGTTAGTTCCAATGTAGTTTTTGAATGTCTGTTTAGTAAAAGAATTAGTTTTTTTTTTTGAACTGCATCTAAAATATCAATACTTCAATAGTAGCATGAAAAATGGAAATAATTTTGTTTTTATTAATTTTTTAGTGACTATATGTTTTTATTATAAAAATAAAAACAGAGAAGTCAACACTAAGATAATTATGTTGAATATAATTGGGGAGACCATTTGCTGTAAGCCCTCATTTTGTCCGGGTGTGGTCGGAAATGAATCAATACAGCAATTTCCAATTTTTCCTCCAATGGTGATTTCCTACTATTATTTTGTTATTGGAAAACGAAAACTAATCGGGACAGCCTGAATTTACTCATTTGCCATTTGAATCGCCAGCATTTTATTAATCAAAGCAATTCATCATTGGCAAATTGGTAAATTTCATACCGGATTAAGTCTTTTTTTTTTGCTGTTTTTCTGCTGTCTGAGGGATAAAATTGTACAAAAAAAAAGAAAAGAAGTGAAAATAAAAATATTTTAACATTAAAAATATATCAAGACTTTATATTCTAACTACATCAATAAATCTCATTTATATTATGTTTCATTTATGAGGAATTTTTTAAATAGTTTGTAGAGTAAAATTTTGTATCAATTAAACTTAATTATTAAGATTTAGGAAGGAAGTATTAGATTCAAAAATCTGATTCTATTTATCTTATAATTATAATTAAATATTTTAATATTTTTAATATTAAAATATTAGAATTTTTCACATTCATCAAATTATATTATCAGATAAATTTATACCTCTCAATTTCTCATCTAGATGCATGAATGCTATTTTTCATTTTATTTATGATTCCATGACTCAAATCCAACAACTCCCTTTTTCCGAATTCAATGCCTTTGTTAAAGACTGTAATATTTATTTTTAGCCAATATAACATTATTTATTAACATTAAAAAAATAACAAAGAAAATCATTCGCAAATAATGGAGGGAATGACACAAGAAATAACAGAAAAGAAAAACAACTACTTTATCTTCTTAATAATGACTAATAATAAAGCATAAGAAGAAAAATGAAAAAGAAATTTAAAAAAGAAGTGTAAAATAATATTGGAAAGGAAGCTTGGTGGTAGTAAATTAGCAGAGAAGAGTAAAAAGAACAGAGAGTGGACGTGGGAGAGACAGAGGGAGAGAGTTTTTATTTAACTTCCAGATTCTGGGGTTAATCTCTCTCCGTCTCTTCTCTTCTTCCCGTTTTGTTTCTCCTCGTTTGCCTTTTGCCACCACCAAAATGCAGAAATGCCTGGCTTTGATGCTGCATGGAATCTGCAATGGCCATGATCTGCTCTAACTGTGTAAGCATTTTCTCCACTCCACTTTCCCCTTCATTTTCTTCTGTTTCTGCTTCTGTTTCTGGGTTTCCACATCAGATGCATAATTGCATGGGTTTAATCTCTTTCTCTGTTTTTTGTTTGCTTTTTTCTTTCTGGGATTTGATTTTCTTTTGGGTCTGTTTTTATTGTGTTGTATATCTGTCTGATCCATCACATTATCTTTTTTCTTCTGTGAATTTCTGTTTTTTTCTCCTTTCTTTTGATTCTTCTTTTATCCTGGTTGTGAACATTTTCGACTGGATCTAAAGAATTCTATAGTTTTATTCTAAAATCTATGCTCTTATCTTTTTATCCTACTTGGAGCATCCATTAAGAAAAAGATTGAGAAAAAGACTGTTCATTTGGAAACCAATGTTTCGATAAGCTCATGTAAATTATGAGTCTGACTGCTGTTCATAATTGGAAATGCAAGATTTGATTGTCCAAACTACTGGGAGAAGTCATTAATACTGCCCTGATGACATGGTTTCGATTGCAAAGATTAGATCATGCATGCTGTATTGGGTTTCTTTTTTCTCTTTCCTTTTATGTTTTTTCCCCAGAAAAGCTGTGTTGATGATTGTCAGACTTGGTTTCTATGATTCTGCTGCTTGAGCTACTCTTATAAAAGGTTGTGGTAATTTTCCTTTTAGAATGATTTCCTCAATTCTCCAGTCACAACACGATCAGCCTAGGTGCAAATTTTGTTTTCTAGATCTTTCGAAATGCTAGAAAAATGGTGCTATAGCTCCTGATTATGTGGTTGTTGATTTAAGAAATATTTTTTCTCCAATTAAACATTTTGCTTTGCTATCATTATCAAGCAATTTTAATTTCTTTAAGGCTGACTGTTTTTAGTTTGCACAGGTTGGAGACAGAATTTGAGATCTGGCCTTACCATTAAGTTGGAATGAAATCAAAATCGAAGAAGGGTTGGAAGGCCATGGTGGCTCTTTGTTTGAGGAGCAAGTCAGCCTCTCGTTTTTGTTTGTTTCCAAAGGTGAAGCCAACCAGCTTTGAACCAGGAACTACACCAGTGTATCTGAATGTATATGACCTGACACCCATGAATGGTTACTTCTACTGGGCAGGCCTTGGTATCTTTCACTCTGGAGTAGAAGGTACCCTTGACCATATTATTAGGTGTCCTTTTGCTTCGTTTTGTTTTCGTTGTTAAGATTTTTGTTTGTTTTTCCTGAAATGTTGAAACATGAACCATATCTTGTATCTTGCCTAATCCAAAAAGCTGAAGAGTTCGAAGGTGATTTATTGCAATATAGTTAGGATTTAGTTCATGTTATCTTTTATGTTGCTATCCTGTTTCCATTCAAAGTTGAGATTTCCTGATAGTCCTAACTATGCTATACAGTTAATGGCGTGGAGTACGCATTTGGAGCTCATGACTTCCCAACAAGTGGTGTTTTTGAGGTTGAACCGCGACAATGTCCAGGCTTCAAGTTCAGGGAATCGATATTGATTGGGACCACATCTCTGGACCCTGTCCAGGTTAGGCAATTCATGGAGCATCACTCCGCCAGATATAATGGTAATACGTATCACTTAATTGTCAAGAATTGCAACCATTTCTGCAAGGACATTTGTTACAAGCTGACTGGGAAGCGGATCCCAAAATGGGTAAATCGGCTTGCAAAAATTGGTAATCATTGCTCATCCCACCATTCACAAAATTTCAGATATCAGTTTCTTGTATTACTCTGCAGTCTGCAACCATATCAACCTTACGAACACCTAGTACATATCAACCTTACATGTTCTTTTAACCCTGTTAGGTTCAATGTGCAATTGCATCCTTCCTGATGCGCTTAAGACTTCTGTTGTGAGACATGAGCAACCATACGACAGTGAAAAGGAGAGGTTAACATTAAATTGCTCCTTCAGTTGCCTATCTTCCTTGTCAATGGAGCAGAAATCTGCAGAGCTCCTTCTATCACCTCAAAAAGGCATGCTATCACCATGGGGATCGGTTAGATCAGATTTTTCACCACGTAAGGAGGAAATCTGATTTGGAGGGTTTTTTTTTCCCTTTTGCATTAACGGATGCTTTCCAGTTTTCAACATGTAGTTTCTTTCAATGTTACTTCTCCATGTCAGTAATGGAAGGCTGTAATCCCCTTTGCTCTCCTAGTTTGTGGATTGGAATTCGTTTGCGATCTCTATAACACTAGTCCGTGGTTAATTTAAGTTGCTGATTTATTACCGTCCAAGTTTGCAGATGCATACGAGAAAGGTTGTGAATGCTGAGTCGAAATCTGTATCGGCAATATCCTCTTGAAAAGCACGTTTATTAGAGTACGAGATGACAAGAACAACCTTGTGACTAGAGGAAGGTATTTGAGAACAACTCAAAAATGAATTATATCGTACCGTCACGGACGACTAAAAGAAAATTTCTGCATGAATGAATCATGATATCAGGAGGCTGCTACATTATCGATGGCCTGCCATACAGAAACTCTGCTCGGATTGCACCCACTAGTTTAGTAATTTTTACTCCTCGAAATTGGAAGATGCCCACCGCAAGGTGCAGGCTCTTGCTGATATTGATAAACCCAGAATCCAACTCCATATAAGGAAATTATGACCGCAAAGCAAGCCAGGAAGCAGCCATGCACGTCGGTCGTGGCATTGACATGAAAGCTAGGTGCAGATCAAAATTCAGACCTCCAGGCCTCTGCATCTGTGTTAGCAAGGTTATTCTCTCCCTCCCAAATGTGAATGTCACATATCTTGAACGTCTTCTCATCAACATAACTTGAAGAGAGACCAGATTTGAGAATGCCAATTCAGCTCCAGGTAAAATACATAACCAACTGATGACAATATGACTGCACTTGTTCGGCTCAAGATTTCTATATGATTTTAAATCATTCCCATAAATAACATGCTAATACAAAGAATAAACAGATGGCGAATCCGAATTAGCTTTGGCAAAATAAACCTGCATGAACACCAAAGAGACACTTCAGATACACAGATGCATTCTAAGTAACAGTCAACTTTGTTAAGAATTTGTATAACATGAGACAAGCCCTAGAATCAATTTCTATTAGGTGATCTGACTAGATGAGATCCATAATCACGTTTAATCAGTATCTACCAAGCACATTTTCCATAAGTAGGAAAATTACAAGACAATGATTGCATGCCAGCATCTTTTTGGGCTAATGGGGGCAAGGACTGACCACCCGCTTTGCTTTGACTGTGCATTCATGAGAAAATACTGATATAAACTAAGAAACTCAACTGAGACTAGATATCATTGGGAGCGAAGCCATGAAATTATCAATCGTCTTTCTGATGCAAAACACTAGGCAGTCTATTATTACCATTGAGAGCAGCATGATATACTCGCTTCTCAGGCAGTCCAATATCTGACAATATCAAGTTACCCTGCAGGTAAGACAAGCAGAAAACAAATTTGTAAAACAAACAAATGGCAATTCTTGATGTATCTTAACAGTTAAACAGAACAGTTTTTTCTCCATGCATTTGTGATTTCTTGACATGGGAAAGCCGTGCAGTGCCGAGTCCTAATTCCTCATAGTTCAAGAACAAAACAAGTACAAATTTAAAGAAATATCCTATAACCATCTAGGTAGTTACATTTTTTCCTTTTTCTAAAACCTGGTAAGCAGGCTTGAAGAATTCTACAAGGCAATGAATCAAAAAGCATGGAGGCATTCTATTCTATTATAGGAAATAATCATCCATGGTAACAATATTACTGAAAAATGAAAACAAGTCTGATATTACAATGCATCCATCTCAGTCACTGATACATAAATCTTTCAGGGAAGAAAAGTAACAGGCAATGCATACCTCCTTAGCCATTAATCTGCGGACATTATTAGCATATAGTTTCGGATCATCCTTCTCTTCTTGTGATGGGTAGTAGACAGGTAACCTTGTCACTTCTATGTAATTAATAAATTGACAGAGGAGAAAAATCACATGTCGTGCCTGCAAACAAAGATGCAGAGAAAGACAGTAAGACTAGAAGTAAAATGATTCAAATGTCATACCTGCAAACAAACATATTTCCTAATTTCATCCATTTTGAATTATTCTAAATATTGTTTTGTCTTCAGCAGTTCCCTGATATGCCCATGTTAAATCCAGAATTGAGATAAACAGATTATAAAACACTGAATGAAGTAGAATGATCAGTGTAGGATTAAGCATAAAGAAAAAGGAAAAATTGGGGATTGCACAAAGCAACTCATGTAGTAGAACCAAAGCCGAATTCCTCATTCAAAAGTCAACTCCACATCTCCACCCTATACAGATGACTTGTAACAGAAACATCTAACACCCTTACACTCAGATTAATAATATTGCTGTTCAGAAAAAAAAAACAGAAACATCTAACAATGAAACTGCCATTGAATTATTCAATCAATAAACTTTCAGTCTTTTTAGGTTTGATATTCGATATTTTCCTCTTTACCAGTTTACCCAACGTTCAACTCCTGATATTCAGCAGCTATGTATATTAAAGGCCCAAAAATAAATTTATTATCTAAAGCCATTAAATCTTGAATTTGCTTAAGAAGTACTTGCCCCAGAGATTGAATCCCAGGCAGGACTGAATCTTTGGTATGGATATCTTAATATGACTGGAAGCACAGGCACACTTGCCAGAAAGGAACCTGTCTTGAATGGAAGAAGGTAATCTCCATTTGTTGTTGTGCCTTCTGTTGTCAACATGAAGGTGAACGATGAATCACAGTGGTTACAAATTAATATATATAAGCATACATAATACATAACATGGAGTTTATGAACATGCATCATAAGTCAAATCTTGCTATCAAATGACTGATTGGATGAGATGAGATGGGGATTCTAAGTACTAACCTGGAAAAAGCATCATCATTGGAGCAATTTTATTTCGATGTGCTTCACGAACTCTTTCAGTCACCACACCTTCAAGACAGGTTGTTATTTGAGTATCATACTTCAAAAATAAATGCACAAAAGCAATCAATTTTCTTAACGACAAGCAACACTATCGTGATCTAAGCAGCAAAGCAGCTGCAACTGCAACGTAAAAAAAAAAAATGTTGGACACTAATACAGGGAAACCCAAAAAAGATAATGTCAAAAAAGGTAGGCAAAATAGACAATTTGTTCAAATATCAATTTCCAATGTAGAAAATAGCAGGAAAAAGCAGTTTAAAGTTTAACTACCTGAAACACCCTTGAAGTGAGAAGATTTTGACTCCCTTTGAACAAAGATGCAACCAAGGCACTTGCTGTCAGCAAATGAGACACCATAACATAACTACACATTCCCGGTTATGATAACCCATTTATATCCATTACTAAGCGTGGATGAGCATTGCTTGATATTACTTTCACTCTTTACTATAAATTACAACTAAAAAAAATCAATAATTGAACGTATCAAGTTACAACTACAGAAAATTCAAATGGACTCCTTAAATGCTAAGACTTGAGGATGTTAAAAGTTAGCTCACCTAATGAGGCCAACAAATGGAAGTTTAGCCACTGATCTCTTCAGCAATAAAGTCCAAGATTACAATCGACAAAATCAGAAGCAGAAGCATGTCAGTCCAGCATACTATTACTATTTACTTGTGACAAAACGGAGAAGCGGGATAAATCAACATACCTTAGCAACAAAGCTCGAGAAAGAAGAAGACATATGATACAATATATCTATATAGGAAACATGATTACAAATTATTGCTCCAGGTCTTTCCACTTCTTCTGATTGATCCTGGCTCTGATTCTAACCAAAAAAAGGGAGGAGTGGGGAAGAAGAAGTTAAGCTGTGGAATCAAGAAATCAATCTAGCTGAAGAAGAAGTAAATCTCACACAAACTATACCTCACTTGTTGATTTGTCGTCGCTACTTATCCAATAAAATCCAAACACGAAAAGCATGAGCCTAGCCAGAAACCTTCCGGAATGAACGATCACCGCTCGCCTCCATCCGCGTAGGTGCGCGTAGTCTTCCTGCTCGTCCTCTCGGTTCGGCGTTGAGAAAAGAGTGCAAATCCGACAAATCAAGTAATCGAGGACCAATATAGTCATCGCCAGAATGATGCGTATCGGAACCAGAGTCAGGAGCCCGATGCCGAGTAGGAGCTTCTCCTTCAACGGAAGCTCGCCTCGTCCCATTGGACCGTAGACATCGTTCCGCACATATGCAGCACATTTCTTCTCCAGCTCCTGGATACTCTCAGTGGATACCGGCATTGGGGATTCATGCTTGAGGCGAGGGCGGTCGGCCTTGGCTGAGCCATCATCGTGAGACGGCTCCCGCTGCGGCATGTTGGACGGCGATTTGGAATTCAAGAGTTTAAGTTCGGTTTCTTTCTCCATCCCTAATTCGATCAAAGTTTGATTGGTTGGGAGATTAAATATTATTCATTGGATTGGTGGGAGAATTTGGGAAGAAGACAACTCGTAGATCTGGAAAAACTGAGTTACTTGATTCACTCGTGAAGGTTTGCTGGGCCTGGGCTAGGCGCCCGAAAGTTGATACCTACGGCTAACGTTATCACGGATATACCCAACTCAGTCACAATCATAAAGTCTCAAACTTGGTGAGGTGAGATTGGGTCCATGAGTGAGGATTCATCCATGGTCGTTGGATTATATGTTAAAAGCAGCCGCCAGGCACCAAATGTAAGATAAGAGGGTGTGGGTCCATTCATTAACATTTTGTCATTTTCGGATTTTTTTTAAACCTTAAATTTTTAGATACTACTACTCTACTTAAGGAAGATATTGGTTATGACTTATGGCTATTTTACCTATTTTACTACATTGGTGGTTGGCTGCCATTTTCGGATCAACTTGTTAGTTGTTAGGAGCATTGAAAAGTCAATACTGTAGAGATTTTCAAAGTGGTTAATTTACTTTGAGTTTTATATTAAAAATTTAAATGGTGTTATTGAGATAATTTTTTTGTTTTATTTTTTTATATAATTTTTATATATAATTAAATGAGTGGATATATTTAATATTATAAATTTTACATAAATTAAAAGAATTAATTATTTTAATAACATGTTAAATAGTATAAAAAAAATTATATAAGTAACATTTTCCTAAAAATTTTAAAGTTTGAATTTTAGATGGGGTGATTATTGCTTGTTATACAGTGCACCTTTAGGCGTTAAAAACAGAAAACAAAACTTGATCAAGAACGATCGATTCTGTGATGTCAAGCATCAGACAAGGATTGACTAAAAATACCTGACAAAAAAATGAAACTAAAGAAATAGAACAGTTGATGGCTCCATACTGCTTAAGTTGCGAATTGGTTTAACCCAACATAGTAATATATGATTCCACATTGTCTTCCATCCAATGAGCGTGAGTGAAGCTGCAGGAATTTTGGTAAACATGGATGCATCTACAATCAAACAATAAAGATAAAGAACCAAAAACAGCTAATGAATAACAATTAAAACTTGCAAACTATATTGCCAACAAAGTGTTAGAAACTTAATAATTAGCTAAGATTTGAGTGTGTGAGGTCAAGTCTCTTTGTGAACATAGTTGCATAGTGTTTATGCACAAGAAGTTCAAGGGATAAAGGTGTTGTTTGAACATTGAAGGACCAAGATCATCTATGTTCCACAAACTAACATATTATAATATCACAAGCGATTCTTCTATGAATCTCTGTTTTTTTATCTTGGTTGTGAACATGTTTGACTGGATCTAGAAGAATTCTATAGTTTTATTCTGAAATCTATGTTCTTATCTTTTTATCCCACTTGGAGCATCCATTAAGAAAATGATTGTTCATTTGGGAACCAATGTTGCAATAAGCTCATGTTAATTATGAATCTGGTTCTAATATTTGCCCTGATGACATAGTTTCGATTGCAAAGATTAGATCATGCATGCTGTATTGGGTTTCATTTTTTCTTTCTCCTTTAATGTTTTTTTTTCCCCCAGAAATAGTGTTGATGATTGTCAAACTTGGTTTATATGATTGTGCCGCTTGAGCTACTCTTATAAAAGCAGTTGTGATTTTCCTTTTAGAATGATTTCCTCAGTTCTTCTGTCACAACACGATCAGCCTAGGTGTAAATTTTGTTTTCTAGATCTTTTGAAATGCTAGAAAAATGGTGCTATAGCTCTTGATTATGTGGTTGTTGATTCAGGAAATATTTTTTCTCCAATTAAACATTTTGCTTTGCTATCATTATCAAGCAAATTTAATTTCTTTAAGGGTGACTGTTTTTAGTTTGCACAGGTTGGAGACAGACTTTGAGATCTGGCCTTACCATTAAGTTGGAATGAAATCAAAATCTAAGAAAGGTTGGAAAGCCATGGTGACTCTTTGTTTGAGGAGCAAGTCAGCCTCTCGTTTTTGTCTGTTTCCAAAGGTGAAGCCAACCAGCTTTGAACCAGGAACTACACTAGTTTATCTGAATGTTTATCACCTAACACCCATGAATGGTTACTTCAACTGGGCAGGCCTTGATATCTTTCAGTTTGGAGTAGAAGGTACCCTTAACTATATTATTGGTGTACTTTTGCTTCATCTCATTGTTGTCATTGGTTTTTGGTTTTGTTTTTGTGTTTTTTTTTTTTTCCCCTGAAAGGTTGAAACATGAACCATGTCTTGTATTCGCCTAATGTAAAAAGGCTGAAGATTTCGAAGGTGATTCATCGAAATATAGTTGTTAGGATTTCGTTCATGTTATCTTTTATGTTGCTATCCTGTTTTCATTCAAAAGTTAAGATTTTCTGATAGTCCTACCTGCACTGTACAGTTAATGGTGTGGAGTACGCATTTGGAGCTCATGACTTCCCAACAAGTGGTGTTTTTGACGTTAAACCATGACAAAGTCCAGGCTTCAAGTTCAAGGAATCCATATTGATTGGGACCACATCTTTGAACCCTGTCCAGGTTAGGCAATTCATGGAGCATCACTCAACCAGATATAATGGTAATAAATATCACTTGATTGTCAAGAATTGCAACCATTTCTACAAGGACATTTGTTACAAGCTGACTGGGAAGCAGATCCTGAAATGGGTAATTCGGCTTGCAAAAATTGGTAATCATTGCTCATCCCACCATTCACAAAATTTTAGATATCAGTTTCTTATATTACATTGCAATCTGCCCCCATATCAACCTTACCAACACCTAGCACACATCAAGCTCACAAGTTCTTTTAACCTTGTTAGGTTCAATGTGCAATTGCATCCTTCCCGATGCGCTTAAGACTTCTGTTGTTCGACATGAGCGACCATACGACAGTGAAAAGTAGAGGTTAACATTAAATTGCTCCTTCAGTTGCCTACCTTCCTTGTCAATGGAGTAGAAATCTGTAGAGCTCCTTCTACCACCTCAAAAAGGCATGCTATCAGCATGGGGATCGGTCAGATCAGATTTTTCACCACGTAAGGAGGAAATCTGATTGGGAGGATTTTTTTTTTTTTTTTCCTTTGGCATAAACGGATGCTGTCCAGTTTTCAACACGTGTTATTGTTAGAAAATATGAAAAACGTAGAAAAGTAAAATGAGTGTTTTAAGGAGTGATTTAACCTTTTTTAAGGATTTAAAATCCTCTAGACTACAACAAAACTCAAATTTCTTTTAGAATTGATGTAGAACTCTGATTTTGTATAAGAATTTATATTGTCTGAAAAGTCACTATTTGTAGGGATATATCCTTCCAGAAAGACACCATTTCATAAAGTTACCTTTTTATTGTCAAAAGTTATGTTTGATTTTCAAATATGTCTTTCTAAATTTTAATTTAATAAAATAAATTAAAAAATCCAAAAATAATGATGTTCTGGCAATCCCATCTTTTGACTATATATAAAAGGATAAGACCCAATTTGCCTTGAATTTCAGTTTATTTAATTATTTATTGATAAAGAATATGCATTTATAAACTCTTTTAAGTTCTCATATTTTCTTAACGTGAGATATTAAACATTTACAAACTATTCAACAGCACATAGTTTCTTTCCATGTAACTTCTCCATGTCACTGATGGAAGGCTGTAATCACCTTTGCTTTCCTAGTTTGTGGATTGGAATATGTTTGTGATCTCTGTAACACTAGTCTGTGGTTAATTTAAGTTGTTGATTTATTACCATCCAAGTTTGCACATGCATACGAGAAACAATGTAAATGCAGGGTCAAAATCTGTATAGGTAATCTCTTCTTGAAAAGCATGTTTAGAGCACGAGATGACAAGAACAATCTTGTGACTATAGGAAGGTATTTGAGAACAACTCAAAAATGAATTATATTGTAGGTAACGGATGATTAAAAGAAAATTTTTGCATGAATGAATCATGATATTAGGAGGTTGCTACATTATAGATGGCCCGTCATACAGAAACTCTGCTCAGATTGCACCCACTAGTTGAGTAATTTTTGCTTCACAAAATTAGAACATGCCCACTACATGGGGTAGGCTTTTGTTGATATTGATAAATCCAGAATCCAACTCCATATAAGGTAAATATGACTGCAAAGCAAGCTAGGAAGTAGTCACACACGTCAGTCGCAGCATTGACATGAAAGCAAGATGCAGTGTTGGAGTTCAGAAGCAAGAAACAGAAGGTGAAAATCAAGCAGAGAGCAGAAACAGAGGAAAAACTAGAAAATAAACATAAAGAGGGAACATGAAGACCATACATGCTTTGGTCTTGTCTTTTTATTGCATATATATTTTGTACATTGATAGTAGGTGAAAAACTTAACAAAAGATCTTGTACATATCATATTACAAGAAAAGATAAATTATAATGATATGTTTTTCACCTACTCCAACTAAAGCAAAATATAGTTCCATTTTGCTAAGTATCTAGTTAAAATTCAAGTCTTCAACATGCAGATCAAAATTTAGGTCTCCAAACCTCTGCATCTGTGTTAGCAACGTTATTCTCTTCTTCCCAAATGTAAACATCACATATCTAGAATGTCTTTTTACAACATAACTTGAACGGAGGCCAGATTTTAGAATGCTAGTTCAGCTCCAAGTAAAATACATTACCAACTGATGACAATATGACTAGACTTGTTCTACTCAATGTCAATATTCCTATATGATTTTAAATCATTCCCATAAATAACATGGTAATACAAAGAATAAACAGATGGTGTATCCAAATTAGCTTTGGCAAAATAAACTTGCAAGAACACCAAAAAGACACTTTAGGTACATAGATGCATTCTAAGCAACAATCAACTTTGTTAAGAATTTGTATAACATGAGTGATAGATGACTATTATGTATATAAGGGCAATTATGTATTTTAACTGCAAACACTTATTGTATATATACCTCACTATTAATAGCAATACATAAGGCAAATATTATTCTTCATGGTATCAAAACATTGAATTAGCGCACCAAATATTATCTAGGTTTTCTTTTCATGCTTCTGCCGTCTTCCTTCTATAGTTTTTTTTTCCTCTGTGTTTCTGCTCTCCATGGCTTCCCTTTCGTCTGTTACCTCCTCTAAATCCTCACCTCCAACTTCGCTTACTACTGATACTATAACCTCTACATCCACTATTATTTCCCATCCTGTTTTCTCCATTTCAAATATCAAACATTTTGTCCCTGAAACTTTGACTCATGAGAACTACTTGCTTTGGAAAGAACTGATAATTCCCGTTCTTCATAGCAAAGGTGTTTATGGTCATATCGATGGATGCAAACCATGTCTTCCCTCAACAGATTTGTCCTATGAAGAGTGGTGTCAGATTGATTATCAGATTCTGTCATAAATCCAGGCAATCATCTCACGTGAAGTTCTGAAATTGATAATTACACTAGGGAAATCTTTAACTGCAAAATCTGCTTGGGATGCTATTGAAGTTTCTTATCATAGTCAACTTGAGGTTAGTGATTTAATGCCCAAGTAGAAGTGCTGTGGTCGTTGAAGGTAACATGAGCAGTCAATGATGGATTATTTGGAACATGCTAAGACAATTTCTGATCTCCTTTTTAGTAGTACTAGTCCAGTCTATGATAAAGATCTTGTTTTGCAAGTTTTGGCTGGCCTTGATCAAGAGTATAGTAGTGCCAAACGAACTATTCCGCAAAGGCAACCGTTTCCTTCTTTTCTACAGCTTCACTTTCTGCTCTTGATTGAAGAAGCTAGTATTAACATGAGCATGCTCAAACAGGTGCTACTGCCTTCATTTCCTCTCAACAGCTTTTGGTAGCTACTCATTTTGGGCACTCTCGGTAGGATTTACAAGGTTTTGCTTGTTTTTTTTTTCCAACCAAGGCATTCATCGAGGTGGCAGGTCTTGATCTCGTGGCCAAGGGGGTCGGTTTTTTGGTGTTCGTGGTGGCCATTATTCTGGTTTTTTTGGCTATTGCACCAATCCTTTGGGTTTTGCTTCTCAGCCTCAACAGCACCATCTCCACAATTCTAGTTTCTTTGGTTTTCTTGGTTTCTACCAACCTTTGTGGGATGCTGCTAGTTATGTTGGTTCTACCTTTTCCAATTCAACATGTAGATTCAAATTGGGTATTTGACACGGGTGCGTCCATTCATGTTTCTAACAACTTTCGTTCTTTATCTTCCTATATTCCTTATACTGGTCCTACTTTTGTTCAAGTTGGTAATGGTCAACTTTTACATGTTTCCCATGTTGGCGCTCACTTTCTTACATCTTGTGTTTCTTCTTTCCAGTTAAATAATATTCATGTTTGTCCTTCCATTACAAAAAATTTAGTTTTTGTTCGTCAGTTTACTCAAGATAATAATTGTTCCGTTGAGTTTGATCCATTTGGTTTTTCTGTTAAAGACTTCCAGACGAAGAACACCCTCCTTCGTTGCAATAGTAAGAGTGATCTTTATACCTTTTCTGGGCAATCAAGTTCCTTTCCCAAAGCTCTTTAGGTGTCAGTCTCGTCTCATCTTTGGCATTGTCATCTTAGTCATTTGGGTTCCTCATCTTTTGCTCAATTAGTTCATTGTGGTCTTCTTCTTGCGAATAAAGTGGTTGGCTCCTTTAGTTTATGTCATGCTTGTCAATTAGGCAAACATCATTGTCTACCATTTCAGGATTCTTCATCTGTTACCTCAAAACCATTTCAATTAATTCATTCTGATGTATGGACCTCTCCATTACATTCCTTTAAGGGGTTTAAATATTATCTTTTATTTTTGGATGATTATAGCCATTATTTGTGGGTGTATCCCTTAAAATCTAAATATGGAGTTTTCTCTTGTTTTCTTCAATTTTCTGCTTGTGTGCTCAAATTCAAGATCTCTAATTTGATAATGGCAAGGAATTTGATAATATGCAATTTTCTTTATATTTTCAACAATGTGGCATTCAATTATATTCTTTTTGTCCCTCAACTCCCCAACAAAATGGGAAAGCCGAGTGTATGAATAGAACAATTGCTAATATGCTTCGTTCTCTTCTTTTTCAAGCAAAATTACTTGGAAAATTTTGGGTGGAAGCATTACATGTTGCTATTCACCTTCTTAATATTTAACTTACATCCAGGTTACATTCTCATGAGGTTCTTTATAATAGGGTGCCTTCTTATGATCATTTGCGGGTTTTTGGGTATGCTTGCTATCCCAATTTGGTTGCTATGGTTCTGCATTAATTGGCACCTTGGTCTGCTCGTTGTATCTTTTTGGGTTATTCACAGCATCATAAAGGCTATAGATGTCTTGATCTTGCAACTCACAAGATTGTTTTTTCTCGACATGTTACTTTTGATGAAGTGAGTTTTCCTTACTCTTTTAGTGTGCATGCGGCTAGCTCTTTTAGTGTGCTTGTTTTTAGAGCTCCATTTGATATTATGGATACTGTCTTTACACCTTCGGATTTATCTACTACTGCTAACTCTATTGTGTAGCCCTCACAAGTTCCATCTTCATTTTCTGTTGGTGTGTTGGGTGTCTCCTCTTCAACCCGTGTCTCTTCTAGTCATACCTCCATTAAGTCGAGTATCTTCTTAGCCCAAAACTAGCCTTTTTTCTCATCCACACCCACCTCTCACTTGTGCCCCCCTTTTGGTTCCCCCATAGCAACTTTAAAACCTGTGTCTTCTTCCCCTGTTCCCACCTCATCCACACCCTTATCAAATCCTACTGCCTTTTCACCCATATTCTCCTCTAACTCCACTACCTTTATACCCATTGAACCATTCGTGGAGCTTGCTCCCCTAAATTCTACGGCTTCATCCTCGCTCCAATCTGTTGTTCCCAAAGCTAAGCCCTTTCATCAGCATCCTATGATCACTCGTGCTCAAGATGGAACTAGGAAGGTGCGTATCTTGCCCTCAATGGTTTCTACTGTTGTTTCCATCCTGGAACCTAAAACTTTTGCTTAAGTTATTAAGCATTCTGAATGGCGTAAGGCTATGAATGAGGAGTATTTTGCTCTGTTGTACAATCGTACTTAGATCTTAGTTCCTTGTCCTCCTCATGTTAATGTTATTGGCTCTAAATGGGTGTATCGTATTAATAAAAAATCGAATGGTTCTATAGAACGTTACAAAGCTCGTCTCGTTGCCTAAGGGTTTACTCAGCAACCTGGTGTTGATTATGGCGACACCTTTAGTCATGTTGTGAAACATGTTACTATTCATACTGTTTTGACATTTGCTATCTCCTACAATTGGCTTATTCATCAGCTTGATGTTAAGAATGCATTTTTAAATGGTGAACTTTTGTAGCCTGTTTATATGTCTCAGCCATTTGGTTTCACTGATGCTTCTTATCCGGATTATGTTTGCAAGTTACAGAAAGCTCTTTATGGTCTCAAGTAGGCTTCTTGGGCTTGGTTTCAGAGGTTTGCTACTTTCTTGACCTCTTATGGTTTCTTTCAGGCACATATAGATTCTTTTATGTTCATCTTGCGGACTCGCGACTCTATTGCAATTTGATTATTATATGTGGATGACATTATTTTGACTGCTTCTAGTTTTGCTTCTTTTATCTACTATTATTTTTATGCTCAAGCGAGAGTTTCTTATGATTGATTTGGGGACCTTGAATTATTTCTTGGGTATTTCTGCTAGCTTCAACTCTGATGGTTTATTTTTGCATCAATCTAAGTATATTCTTGAGTTGTTGGTTCGCAGTGGTATGACGGATTGCAAGGCTGTTAGTACTCCACTTGATAGCAAGAAAAAGTTAGCTGCTAATGATAGTCCTCGTTACTCTGATCATTCTACCTATTGGCGACTTGTTGGTGCCTTACAATACATCACTTTCACATGTCTTGACATCTCTTTT